TTTATTTATTTCTTGTTAAAAAATTTTTATCACATTTTATTACATATTTTGCTACTGCTTATATATCTTATTTGCTTACAATTAATTATATTATAATTGATCATATAATTGATTAACTCTTAAATTAACTACCCTATTGATTTTCATATACTACTATTAACTCTTAAATTAATTACAAATATTTCTATATATAATTGTTACCTTATTTTGATAAACTATTTAGTACTACTAATCTTTATGCAACTGATCTTACATATTACATAATTTTCTGATTCTGATTCTGATCATGATCATCACATGGTCACATGAACACACATTTAACAAACATTCGATACTCTTTAAACTAAGTATACCTTTAAGAGATTTTTTTATTTTTTTTTCTAATTACATATTGTTCTAGAGTTCCAAATCAACTCCTCTTACTAAATACACTACATACTTATCTCCACTATAACAATAGTTTTTGTCTCTGAATCTGCTTCTGCTTCTGTCTCTTTGATAGTCATTTCTTTGGTTGTTGTAGTTTTTTCTGTTATTATTATTATAATTATTATTGTTGTTTTTGCTTCTTTCAGAGTTTCTGTTTCTTTAGTTTTTATTACATCTCTTTTTACAATTTGCTATGAAATATCTAGGATTACTACAATAATAGCAAAGAGCTCTGTTCTGTGCAAAATTAGATCTAAAGTTATTTTTTCTTTCTGCAATATAGGCTGTATAAAGTTGTGAAGTTTGTTGAGCTTATAATATTGGTTGAGATTGGGTCACAACTGAATTGATATATAGTTGAACTAGTTATTTAGTAATGTTATTAACATCATTTTTTTTTAAGATGACTATTACTTTTTCTAGTTTTTAATGTTTTGCTTCTTCAATAGCAGCAGCTAAGTTATTAGAAACTGATGCTTATACAGATATAGCATATTCAGGTTACAATCCTTTAATAAAAAGCTATACAATAAAGTTATTTAAAAAGCCTCCATTAGGGTCTACCTTTCTTCTAAGCTTTTTAAACTAAACAATATATGTATTAACAGTATTGTTCCTTGTTTTAGATTAAAGAATTCTTGTTACTACTAGCTTTCTTCTTGACTGTTTTAAATTTCTTCAGGAAGTAGGTTTTGAATTGAGATACTTCATTTCTATTATATGATCAAAAGTAGTTATTTCCAAGTCCTTTGAGCTAATCTTCTGCATTGTCCTTCATATATGCTTAGGCAATTGCAAGTTTTTAGCTTCAGACTATTTATTAATAATAGCAGCTCATTCAAATTCATTAATCCAATCAACTAGGTTTTCAGTTCTATTACCTTTAAATAATACAATTTTAAAGAGTAATTTCTCTCTAGTTTCAAGAGTATCAACTAGTCTATTCATTGTAGTAACAGTATTGTTTATGGCTCTTTTATTTTCAGAATCAAGTTTATTAGTAATAGTTTTGTTTGAGCTTTTTGGCTCTTCTTCTTCTGATAAAGGTTGTTCTTATAAAATATTATTTTTTTAGAATAGTCTTGTTTTGTTAATAGATTAAGATCTTCAATAGTTAAAGTTGTGTTCTCTTGAATATGAGTTTCTAGATCTCAAACAAAGTTTTCAAGATCAATAGATTAATAATAATTAAATGATATTTTAATAATAGGTTGTGTAGTTATAATTTTAGAATAATTAGTTGTTTCTGATAAGTTAAAAGTTGAAGAAGTGTTTTTCTCAGTTGTAATAGGATTTTTAGTTGTTGTAAATAAAGTTTTTTCTAGATTCAATACCAGGACAAGGTAAAAAAAACTTAATTCCTTTAGTTACAAATTTAACAAATTTATTAACTGATCTTGGTATAATTAAGGTTAAAAGTTAAAAGAAATAAGAGAATTAAGTTGAAGTGTAAAAGGGTTCTCAAGTAATTTTTCTTTCTTGTAAAGCTTCTTGTTGAATAAAAAGAGAAGGTAATTCTCCTATTCTTGATAAGTTATTTAGTTGATAATAAGTATAATGTCTATTAGTTAGGTTCTCACTATATAAGTTAAAGAACTAGGGTCTACAATAGGTATTAAAGTTTAAGTAGAAGTAACAATAATAGTAATAGGATAAATAGAAGTTGTAACAGATTTTTCTACAGTAATAACAGTTTTTTGTAATAATTATTAAGAAATAGATATACTAGTTTCTTTTTCAGAACCTTGTGCTGATTCTAATGCAATAGTTTATAATGCTTTAATATGTTTTTGAGCTCTAACTAGGTCATTAATAAAAATATCAAATAGAGTTCTTTGGTCAGCAATAATTACTAGTACTGAATAATAAAAAGTATATTTTTGAAAGATACTTCGTACAATATCTCAAGAGTTTGTTATCTGGTTCTGATAATGACAACTAAAAATAATGTTTCTAGCTGCAACTCGAGCAGCTAAACATTCAGCAGTAGCTAATCTTAAAAAATTAAAATAAGTAACTTTACTAAAAAAAATAACTTGGTAAGCTTCAGAATACCAAATTCAAAATTCAGCAAAGCATCTACAAGGATTAGAAGATAGATAACACTATAGGCAAGATAAATTAATTGTAAGAATTTGCAATACAGTTGTAGTAAAAGAGAGGTTTTTATTATAAATTTGTTGATATTTTTAAATATTTTCTAAATGAAATCAAGTGAAAAAATCTCTTATAAAATAAATTTCTTCAAGAAAGGTTAGTACTAATAAGTAATAAAATGATAAAATAAAATAATAAAATTGAAAAAATAAATCCAAAATAATAGTGCTAGTAAGTAAAGAATTTAAGTAATCAATCAAAAGTTTAAATAATTCAAAATATATTCATCAATCAATAAGTAATATCAAATCAAAAATCAAAATCAAGATTATTTCAAAAATCAAAAATTTAAAGATAGAAGGTAAAAGTATAAACTTCTTCAATTTCAAAATACAAAATACAAATACAAAATATAAAATAATTCAATTCAATTTGAGTTAGTAGAGGTATATTTAAAATAATAATTCCAAAATTTCAAATGTTTTTTCATAATTGCTGCTTTCAAATAAAATTCTTTCTAGAAAGAGAATTGCTTCCTGAGGTAGTTTTCTTAAAAAAGATTTCTGTTCCTTTCTTTGAATAAATTTTGCTTTTTCTAGAATAATTTTTAGCTTTCTGTTAAAAGATACCAAAATGTTACAGGGTTGTAATCTTTTTGATACAATACAATCAAGTAACAAGATCACCTGATATAGTGATTGACTATTGCAAATATATACAAGATGGAGGTATAGTAATTCACTTTACTATATAGCAGCAAGCAAACAGTTCAAGATAATAACAATATATAGATTAACTTTTATTAAATAAAATATACAATAATAACTTTGTCTATAAAATTATTCTAGAGAGGAAATATCACTTTTACAAATTAGGAGTAAAGATAGGAAGATCTATATTGAAGTATAGGAATTTAGAATTAGCAAGAAAGAGTAAAAGATATCCTTTATATATCTTTTTACTTAACAAAAATAATGAAGATTTAAGCAATATTATTTGATACTATATTAGAGTAATAGGAGTTTGAACAATATTAGATATTATTGTATTTGAGATAATGAAGGTTTGAATAATATTAAATAATACTATGCTTGAAGTAATAGAGACTATACAGAAGTAACTAGTAATTTTGTTTATATCATTTGTCATTTGTGTTTAAAACATTTGGGACTTGTGTTTAAGCACTTGAATTTGTGTAAAGGCACTTGGGATTTGTGCAAAGATACTTGAGATTCATGTAAGAACACTTGAAGTTCATGCTGAGAATACTTGGGATTCTTGTGCTGTGGCACTTGGTACAGTAATTTGATGCTAGAATACATAAAACTTGTACAAGAATACTTTGGATTTGTAATATAATAATAACATTATAGATGTTACTTAATATCATGTAGTTGTACTACATTTCTAATAGCCAATTAAGATTCTTTTATCTATCTACTATATAATATAATTATTGACTAACTAATAATTAATAATAAATATAATATAAAATATAAAAATGAATATATATATACTATTAATACTACTTTATAATATATTATACGAAAACTACTTTGTAACAATATTAAAACATGTTTTTTATAATAATATAAAATTTAAAAATCAAAATATTAAAAAAAATATATTTGTATATTTTATAAGTTATTTGTATAATTAGTAATACTAAAATTGATTTTTAAGAAAAACTTATTTTGTTTTTATTAAAACAAATTAAAATTTTTATAAGCAAATAAAATTTATATTTTTATAATTTTTATAATTTTATTTATTTAAAAAAAATATTAAAAATTTTGTTTTTTAAATAAAATAAATCAAAAATAATTTCATTTTTAAATTTTAATTTTGAAATAATTTCATTCTTATATATAGCAATAATCTTAAATTCTTTGTAATTACACAAAATCATCAATTTTAATTAGTTTATATTACATAATTATTATATAACAAAAATAATACCTAATTTTTAAATATATATTTCTTATTAAATATTTAAATAATTTTAATGATTTTGCTACTATTATAATTAGAAAAACTTATTCTACAAACTTTACTTAAAAATCTAAAATAATTAACTTAATAAAATATTTTAAAATATTAAAAATAAAAAAATTTACTATTAAGATTATATGAAAAATGATCTACATTAAACTCTACTCTTAAATCATAACAAAACATAAACAATTATTTTTAAGATAAAGTTTTTTTAAAAAAAAAACAATAATAAACATGTATATGTACCAAGAATATAATATTTGCTAATATATAAATTTACAAAGTTTTTTATTAAAAAATCTCTGCTGTTAAGTTCATTTTAATATTGAATCTTTAAAAATAATTTATTTAAAACAATGAAAATCACCATGATTTTTGATAGATAATGTAGTTCAAAGTGAAAATATTTTAATTTACAACAAAAAAAGAAATTTCACAATATCGTAAGACCCAAAACCCAGACCCAAGACAAATTATGATCACCATCGATTTCCATATCCCACATTGGTGCCTTGATTAGGCTGTTCGAATAAATTTGACCCTTGCGATTGTTGGAGCTGCTGCTCTCGTTGAATGTCCATGAGAGTTTTTGTTTGGTTAATATCGCTTGGAATCATTGTCTGCTGTGTTTGAAAGGGGTTTTTGCTGACTTGGCTGCTAAAGCTGCCTGTATCAATGTCAATAAGGCTATTGCTAGTGGGAAGGCTAGTCGTTGTATAAGGTAAAGTAGAAAATAACGGTGCAGGCTGTGACAAAGAAATCGATTAAATTTTAGTTTATATTGAAGCTCAAAGAAATAATAGAAATAAAGAAACTTTACCTGATTAATGTTTGTACTGAATGTATTAAGGAAATCATTTTTAGCAATTCCTGCAGGTGGAGAGTTGAAACTAGACGGGAGGGTATTAAAAGCTCCGCCGCCGGGGTTGTTTGTGTCTCCACTGTTAAGGAATGGATTGGCCTGACTAATATTGCCTGTTGAATTGGACCTTCTCGGAGAATGTATATTGTTCGAGGGTTGATCTGCCAAGCTATTGGCAAATCCTGAGCCGCTATTTAATTAAATATCATTTATTAATAACTTTACGATTAATTTATGGAACCCTCTTTATAAGTGAGGCTTTTATGTAAGAACTTACATTGGGACGCGAAGATTACCCACATTACCAAAGGTGTCCATACCATCTCTACATAAAACGATCGATGTTAGTCCCAATAAATCATGTAAAATTAACATTTCAGTTAAACTAACTCACCCCCTGTTTCCAATCATGGCAGCCAATTCAGGATGTTTTTGATCAGTAGAGTTAGGTTTGAGGGCCTTTAAGGTTCAAAATAAAAATAGATGTATATTGAAAAGTGATATTAACGAAGTGTATTTGTTGAAATTAGTAGATGCAATTGATTATTTGAATATTTAACTTTATGAATTAAACGTAATCGAATAAAAAGCCAATGACATAAATTCATATATAAATATGATCTTATATATAAAAGATGGCGAATGCATTAATGTAAAAAATTACATACTGGTTGTTGTTGACTATTATTAAATACATCAAGTGATGTTGATGTTGTTAGGTTTGGCGAGCTGAGGTTAGATGACAAACTTCCAAAAGAAGTGATACTATTGCTTGTTGGATATGATGTGGTTCCAAAATTCGCTCGTAGTTGCTGTTGTTGCAGCTGTTGTTGCATCTGTTGTTGCTGTAGCTGTTGTTGCTGTTGCTGCTGTAGCTGTTGTTGTTGCTGCTGCTGTAGCTGTTGTTGTTGTAGCTGTTGTTGCTGCTGTTGCTGTAACTGTTGTTGAGTAAATGGTCCAAAAGGATTGTTTGATCCAATAGTAACACTTGATTGCAATATTGGTGATTGCTGATAGGGATTAGTTGATTGTTGTTGCAGTTGATATGGATTATTCAAATATGGTGTTTGACTATTAATTAAAGCTTTGTTGTCAATTAATCCGAAAGGATCCAATTGCTGACTGTTCGGATTTCCATTAAATTGATTAAGTTGATTGAATTGAGAATTCATATATGGGGTTACCGGGTTGCCAAAGAAGTCTTTTTGTTGTTGTGGAAGTTGATTGACGTTGGAGGAGTATCTGCTTATGATGATGTAAGTCAGGTAAATTTCGTATTTTTACAAAAAAAACGTACATATGTATAAAATAAAACGACTAACCCAGGATCAAATAGTAAATTTTCATTCTGTTTTTCGAGAATTGTTTGTCTCTTTTCTTCCTCCTCTTTACTTAATTTAAGTGCCCTCTTTAAATCTTCTTCTTCTTTAGTACTACATTTCAATAAGCATAAACAGATCGTGAACATTGAAATATTGTTAAAAAAATAAAATAAGTAAATTGTCATAATAATTTTACCTATTTTTCTCATCTTCAGTTGCTGTTTTTAAGCTTTCTGCAATCGCTTTTTTTATATCAGCATCTTCATCGTCTAAATTTCCGGGATGATCATAATATCCAGATTCTAAATTTTTATTAACTGGCCCGGGTAATTCATTATGACCTGTTAGTCTATCTCTCATATTAGCTCTTTTACGTCTCTCTGCACTAAGACGTTCATCATCTTGAAGAAGGTTAGTAATATCTTTAGCCTTTTGTCGTACTGTGATATAATGAACCGTGTTAATGCATAAGAAAAAAGTAAAATAGACTAGTAATTTCCTAATCCTACCATTAGCACCTTGATCTTTCCCATCATCATCTATATATTGGAACTCTCGTAAAGTTTTTACTACATATAGATTTTCTTTAGCATATGCAACAACTTCTTTAGACCCTACATGAAGGCAATAATCTAAGAGAGTAAGAGCCTACGAAAAAAAAAAAAAATTCTCATTAATTCTACAGTAAAAAAGAAAAAAAAGGATTGAACAAAAATTGACTTATCTCTCATAAAACACGATATATTCATAATCACTTACTTTGAAAACATGCCTCCAATTTTTACCATGGTCGTTCAATCTTTTATCAATCATTTCCATTATTTCTGCATGATAATGTCTAAATTCTCGCAGTTTAAATTAAATTTTTAGTTTATTGGCTTTTTTTTCTTTGACTTAAAGCTTGATGGATACTTACGGATCATATGTAGCCTGAGCAATCTCATTCATTGCAGTTCCGCTAGGGCCCCATGGATCGTTTGATGTAGCAGATCGAACCTTTGCCTGCATATCTGAATAGCCCTTGGTATAATTTTTTCTATTATTGTAGTATTTAAAATGAAACGAAATAAATGTTAACACATCTACAGACACAAAAACTAATAATCAAATGTAGAATTAAACGCACATCGAGCGCATTGCTCCCTTAGCCATCTGCGACATGGTGTATAGTTTTTAGATCTTGGGCGATTCTTTTCGGGTGGTGACGGAAATTTAAAAACTGATAATGATGAAAAGGCGAAATCTGGCTGAACTCTGATGAAAGTCCAACCATACGAAATCTAACAAAGTTAAAAGGCCAAGCTATAATTTAAATGTAAGTTCTGATCCAATGAATAGTATATTTTATTGGTCATTTGCGCTTACATGTGACAACCAACCAAATCGTGAACTACCCTGAAAAATAACTACCCGCCAAATTTTCGCTTTCACGTGATGATCATCCAATAGCGAGTCTCGTTTTAATGTAACTTGCATAATAAACCACCTTTTGCGCTCTAACAGAAAAATCCCTCGAGTGATTTTACTATTACTCCACTAAAACATAGCTCTATTATAAACGCTAACTCTAACTTAAACGAATTTAAGGGTAGAGTACAACTTTTGCAAATTATATATAAATTAAATGTACAATTTTTTTAATATCTTATTTTACTTAAG